AGCGTGTTCAAAAGTAAAGACAGAATAGTTTAACGAGTTAGAAGAAATCATATATATGATTGATGATATTCATTTGAAAGTTCAGCGAATCCCTTGAATACATTATTTTAATATGACTTTCTTGGACATGTTATACAACTATCAACCCAGAGGATTCTACACCGATCATAATTTGCCAAAGTTGGTTCTGAGTAGGAAACGGCATAGACAAAGAAATTAGGTGATATAACGCCATGGTATTATAGTCCATAGAGATTTCGTGGTCGGGGTTATAACGACAGTATAATTCACTATATTCAAATCCTATAAGATACGGTTAAAAATAGAGGCCAGTATCTATCGTGGAGTAGTTTATTACTACATTCTGTATAAAAGTAAGATAATCTATTCTAACTGAAAGAAATATTTCTTGACTGGATTTTAACTGAGTTGATGTTTTACTTTATAAAATAGCATTATTGCATATCTATTGATAAATTACACCCATGTTCTCTATTATTTTTCTTTATAATGTTATCACGTCACTTTCTGGTTCCATATTTTACCGGAATTTATGTGCTGTATTCCTGGAACCAAAATCCGAAAGTCTAGTACTTGATGAAAAGTTAAATCATAACAATGTGGTTAGCAATAATCTTCAAGTTGAACATGGAAGATTACCAAATGTGAAATCATTTGCCAAATGTTAGTTGGTAAACACGTAAATGTCAAAGAATGTAGTTATGATAATGAATGGGACTCACTTATAGGTACACGTTTATGCGTTTGGCTTTGAGCCACATTACGGTAGTGGTGTAAATAGGTTGAAAAAATCAAAATAGATGGCGCAACGCTTAACCTCTAGGTTGATTCGAAACCAAATAGAACCACGCGTCCGCTTATATATAACACACGCTATTGATCAACTAAATTTCAACCAGTATAATGATCCCCAGTGGACTATTCGGCTCCAAATTTCGGACATTCAAACAATAAACAGGAATAAACACTTAACTCTCGACAGATTATATATGTAAATTACTCCTCTTGCCTTTAAATTATTTATTCATGAGGTAATTTCATTTCATTATCAAGTAGTCAGATTATATAGCTTCCCGCTTTCCAAAGGATAACAGAGAATAATGCCGTTAAGTATCATCTGTTCAAAAGCTAAATAAATATATACTGAACGGAAGTCATTTAGGAGAATAACTAACAGGGCGGCAATCGACAAATGAATACATGTCCCGGAAACGAAATTATTGACTAACGCTAAAACTTTAATTGAACAGTTTATTGTACATTATAAATTAAACAAAACAATTACTTCTATTGTGAAGAACATTTGTTACTCAAATCGATTTATCAATCATAAATGGACACAGTATTTTGTGAATTTCGAATTATCTAATCAACCGAACTGTCAGATAAATTTATTTTTCCTTCAATGTAAACAAAATAACTATAAACAATAATCAATTATAGCACTGATCCGTTCATTCATACAATCCTATATGAATTCGGTGTAAACACCTGTATAAACAAATATATATATATGAAGGTAAATGTTCGTAACTTGCGAACCACAACAGGACTCTACGGTGATAATGACAATATTCAAAGTTTGTCCTACTGTGTACAAACAACTGACAACGAATTCCATTTCAGATTACTATATTACTGTGTCTTTGCATACACATGTCTATCCATGACGCAAATTGCGCTCCGGCAAGTAAGTTCTGTATCTATACTATTATGATTTTGCTTTGTACACAAATGAAAATCTCAAGATTGGTTCTAACTAGTGTTAAGATAACCTAAGTAAACCATAATTCGGGGTTATTACACAAACTAGTATAGATTGGTTGTATTGTCAGCTGAATTGTTTCAACTGACGAAATTTTTCAAAGTATCCCATTATTTTTGGTATTAGTTGTTCAAAGTCGTTTGGTTAATAGAACGCATGATTTTGAAAATGTAACAAATTAAAGTACACTCACGTAGCATGATTGGTAAAGTCAGTAAGTACTCAACTAAGTTGTAAACCATACAATACGCTCATGATCAAATAAAAATAGAAAGGAAGAATGAAAACTTAGAGAACCACTGCTGACGTGGTTCTATACCAGTTACAGTGACAAAAATGAGGAAGCTGAGGTTGGTCAGTTTTCTAATCATATGTATTAATAATATTTATACTTATCGGTTTTTCCATTAAACGAATGTACAGTCGTTACTGAACTAGTAACTGACCATACTATATATGTACTGATTATACTATATGATTGCACTCAGCTCAGTAAGTAGACAGTGATTCGAACTAATGAGATATGGCTTTCTTTGTCTAGTGGGTAAGATCGAAATTAAGAGTTGAGATCGTGTAAACAACGAACGTTTGTAACTAGTAAAAAAACATCTTAATGCGTACATAGAATAGATGGGATATGGCTAGCAACGGGATCTAGGATGTGTTTCACCTACTTAGGATCCATCAGCCGGATATACCTAAACCCCAGGGTTTCTATTCACTTTGGTGCTCGAATCTATTATCTTTTGCTTCGAATACTCAAAAATTTATCCTTTTAGATACTGAGTTCAGATAACCAATCACTTGTGGAACGGATATGCACCCTAACCTACTATTCAGTGATTCTAACATACAGTTTAGGCTAACACCATCAGATCACGAAGTGAACAATTACTGCGGACTGGTCTGAACCACATATCAATCTATCCTGTTGTATATATCATTTTAGATTTATTTACACTTTCACAATTAGTTTTAATTAATTTCAGAGAACAATGAAGGATCGTCTAATGACAAGAACCCTGAAGTACCGGTTGTTACTGTACAAAAAAATCGACTATATGTACCCACTTACTTATATAAACATAAGGCTAATTAGCCCTTCTGATCAGCTCCTGTGACAAAAATCAACACCTTTGTCAACATATCAGTCTAAACATTCAGGTGACAGTTGTTGTAATGCTTCTTGTGTTAATATAAAAGGTTTAGTTTCTAAATCACTCGATTTATATTCTTTGTACAAACACAATCCTGTTAGATTAATTTAGCTTGTGACATTAATTCTCAGAAAAATACGTCTGTTGTCAGCTTACTAAGAATATAAAACGGAGCATATCGACACACTACAGTGCAACTCAAAGTAGCTAAGTCACTCACAAGAACAATCAAGTCTACTCTAATTATCGACCAAATTATCTATGCAATTGAACACATAAAAATTGGTACAAAGAAGTACCAAATAAATATGCACCAGATAAATCATTCGCTTTGTGTGAGGGCTGGGATACCCAAACCGAAGCAAGTGGTTTTCATAGGGAGCCACTCCCTGAGCCTTTGACCTGAAGGTCTAATCCACAAGGCAGTGGAGCAATGTAAAGAAATGCAGTCCCATAGCAGCCGGTGACCAACAATAAGTTCATACACTCTTTGTTTCCTTAGGATCCTTGAGCTCATGCGCACCATTGGTTTGGAATCAGGGTTTTCCAACTCCCCTAGGTGGACTCTCAGTGACCGATATACGTACAATCTTGAGTCGATAGAAACCCCATCCAGTATGATAGTTTCCTTTAACAAAAAGACACTCTGAAGTGGACTAGCATCGACATAATTCCTTAGGATTTATATATTAATCGCCCTAATAACCGTTATTAAATAAATCCCGATGGCGCATGAATTCAGAAGGCAACACAAAGCACCAACCACAGTTTATTATTGAATAGCACATATCGATAAGCCACAAACACACCAAACAAATTCGAGCATATGCGCGCAAACGAGCGAATACAGAGGCGAATTAAGAGTAGAATCAACTGATAAAATTCGAGTACATACATATATATGCAAAGCGATGCGAGGCGGAGAAGGCAACAAACCAACTCGTTTTGGCAAGTGAGACTCAATATTTATAGTCAAACAAAAATAAGTTACAGATATATGAGTAGAATAAGCAATACACATACATACGTCCATATTAAAAATCAAGAGTAATAAGCGAATAACTGACAAGATCAAAATGTCACTCAAAAAGAATGAATAAACTGGTCTGTCCGGAAGCTAGAATAACCTATGTGGGCTTGACTTTGTATAAGATAAATACAACTCCGAATTATCCATGTACAACCCTAAGAATTTCTGACAGAAGTAGAAATCTTGACTTCGGGAGCTACTACTACTCACACCAACAATCCGATAAGAAAAGAAAGCCTCTCAGATGTCTGATATTAACTGGAACCCAATAGTGTAACATTAAAACAGAAGTTAAGCAAGCCAAGTAATCAAGGCATTTTTATAAGACCAGGAACAGGTGAAAATAACATTGCTTCGAATTTGAAAAATCAGTATATTGAGGCTTAAACAAACATTTTCCTAGTTCCACTTGAAAGAATTACGGGTGAAATTGTCCATCAAAGATCAGTCAGTATATTTTGTTGTTATTAGTAACAGGAATGCATCAAATGACTATTTTACTGAGAAAATCATAAGTAATCACTAAGCGAGTTTCAGATCACACATTACTCAGCTGAACAAAATTTACTGTTGAACATGAGCTTCATTCTAACCTCAATTAACGATTTTCATTACAGTTGAAACATCAGGCTTGTAACTTTTACCACAATGTCAACAAAAAAGTGGGATGAAGATCTACATTACGACAAAAATTTCGAAAACTATAACCGTCATTTGTAAGCTGTTCTATCAACTAAAGAGAACAAGTTTAACAACATAATCTTAAGCCGGTTTCTATGTATGGGTTGGTAATACCATATACGTAAAGCAACTTTGAACCTTTAATTTAATAATTGAAATCGAGAAGTTTGAATGTTATAACACAACTTATTTACCATAACTTGGAGGTGGTAACCCATCATGCAGCCACTAATATTACAACCAAACAAAAATAAGTGAAAACAATATTCATCTATCCACGTGGAGACAATAAACATACAATATATTAACCAAACGTAATTGAAAATAACAATTTGCGACAAATCACTTAAAGAGGTATGTTTTTGAAATACGGAAGTTCACGGCGCCAAATTGTTTCTAGTGCTTCAATGGCTTTCTGCCCAAGGGGTAAATCACTGTAACGATCCACGAATGATTGTATTACACCGGGATAAGTTGTAGGATATGATATCAGTTCAACACCGTGAGGGGTTTTACGGAGTCCAGGTTGAACAAAAATAGGTCGGGGCTTTTTGCGATTAATCACAATTTGGCGCAATTTAATATGTTCTGGTAGCAATTGACAATAATGTTGGAAGAAAGCGCAACCATCTTTAGCATTGGCTGTACTTTTATAATACTGAAACAAAAGAATTGAGAAAAAGTGTTCAGACAAAATGTTTTCAGTGAATGAAACTTTAGAAAAAGATGATCCTTTCAGGAAATAGTTCATCAGCTATTCATTATTGAGATAGAGTCTGTCACATAAACGATTTAAATCAAGTTTTCATATCATGTTGTTCGAATACTATTTATTTATTCATTTGAACACATAAATATTGGTACAAAGGGGCACCAGATACATATGCGCCACACAAATCTTATTTCAGTTGTGAGGACTGTAATACTGCCCATGTGTCCAAACCGAAACACGTGGTTTTCTCAGGAGGTCACACCCAGAGACTTTGACCTGAAGGTCTGATCCACAAGGAAGTGGAGCATCGTGAGGAGATGCAGTCCCATGATAGCCGGCGACCAACGATTGATTCATACGCCGTTTGTTCCTTCAGGATACTGGAGCTCATGTGCACCATTGGTTTGGAATCAGGGTTTTCCAACTCCCCTAGGTGGATCCTCCACATCCACCAACCCGGTTAAAGCGTCGCACATTCGCTTTTCGTCTTCTCACTTTTGTGAACAACACCCCCGTCACAAGAAGTTAGTGAGTAGAACTTCCCTGTCAGATGTTATATACACGTAGCCATATGAGAGCATTTCGAGAGGGAGAGCGAACTCTCTCCACTCTCGGCCGTACCAGGGCATATGCTATTTACCCAGACCTTCAATGTCAACATATGAAAGCCACCATACATAGAGTAGTATCTAGCATGAATGTATTCATACATGTTGTCATACATTTTATCACCATAATGAGAAAACCAAGAAATTCAAAGATTGAAAAATAAAATAATAACGACACTTGTCGAGAATGAAAGAAGAGGCTTGGAAGATGAATGAAATATATGAAGTAGTAAACAGTTTAGGATTTTAGGAACCGGAGATGATTGTATTGGTGCCACCTTGACTCATCTTAAGTTATATCACTCGAAGTATTTGACAATGAATAAAAGTAATTCCATCCCAGAAGCTTTCAATTTCTTAGAAAACCTGGACTAAACGTCAGTGCTTTTATAAACTGTTATGCTACGACATAGAATTAATTAATCTTATTCGTATCAACTCTTGAAGTCTCGTGAATGGAATAGCAACGTGTCGGTAGATGCCCATGCACGATATGTGTCTATTCATAAGAATCCATAAAAACATGAAATGAAAAGGTCTTACCTGAATTTTTCGTAAAAATTCGCCAATTGCCGGACGACCAACTGTCAAAAGCTTTTGACGATCTAAGAAAATAGTTAAATCAGGTGCACCATCATCACCAACTATTTCGTCTACACGTACCAGAGAATTATCAGCTTCAATTAAAACCTAGTGAAGAACAAACAGTATATCTAAAATTGACATAACGGTCAGGAGTAATATATGTAGCATTTGGCGATACTGAAATGAAAAAAATTATAGAGGTACCAGCTACCCACATCACAAGACATTACGATTTTCATTGACTGGCACAAGTAATCGGATGCTAAAATGCCCCCTCTGAAAAAGATTCACGATGTATCCAAATATGAATCTGTTATAATTTCTTATTATTATTACCCAGCTATTCCTATTGCTTAGTATTCTTGGACACCAATTTACTCAACAAGTCCCCACGATTGAACAGGGAAGAAATTACACTCCGAATTACAAGGATAGATAGAAGTAAGAAGCGCGATAAGAAATACGTTAGTGTATTTGTAGTTTTTACATGAGGAGATTATAGAGCCTTCTCCAAGCATCGACTAGCGCTGATTAAATAAGAATTAGCCAATCAGCGTGCACCAACACAATCGTGCATGGAACATGCTTTAATTTTATCTATGTCTCGCTAACACCTCCCCTTTGAGCAGATTCGTAGGATCTAGTGCTGTGGTCCAACTACAACCAAGTGACTGTCCTGTGCTTTTGATTTGTCCATCGTCTAGACAATAAGGAAATTGTGTCACTCTTTGCTTGCACAGAAATTGACCTGTCTGTTCCGGGCGTTTTGATTTCAACGGTGTCTAGCAGAACGCCAAGAGGTATTTGATGTCGAGTCTCGTTTCTGGCTATCGAAGTTGCTTTCAATTGGTTAGCATGACGTATCCAAACTTCTGAGCCAAATGACACCTAATAAATCACATTTCCTTTCCTTTGCACGATCCGACCAGCTGTCCATGTAGGATGTTTTCCACGATAGTCCATAGCAAGTACTTTTTGACCCACCGTAAACAAACGTCTTTGTGCCCCATGATGTCGATTGAACTGTTTCTTCGTTGATACGCTTCGCTGAGGCTCAAGAGCTGGCGTCGGACGGATGACATCGAAATGCGTTCGTATTTTTCTGCCAAGTAGAGCTTTTGCCGAGGAGACCCCGTTAATTGTCTGAGGGTTCAGTGTAGAGCGATAAATAGGCAGGAACCTCTCCAAGTTCCCTTCGGTGGTACCCTCCCCCTTTATATTTTTTCAGAGCACGTTTGAATGTACTAACAAAGCGTTCCACTCGACCATTGGGTTTGGGATAGAATGAAGGTGTTCGGACATGATTGATTCCGTTCTGCTGACAAAATTCTGAGAAGATAACAGACGGAAACTGTGTTCCTTTGTCGCTAAGTATCAATTTCGGGACCTCAAAACGACTGAATAGTTGACGTAGCTTTTGGCTGTGCAACTTGCAACTGGATGTTCCAAGAAAAAATTTTCTGGCCACTTGCTGTATGCACCAACTACCAGAAGGTAAATCTGTCCATGTAGTGGACCAGCAAAGTCCAAGTGTATACACCGCCACGTTGACTGTGGTATTGGCCATGCCTGCAGCTGATTATCGCGGTGTTTTCGTTGTTAATGCACATTTAGTACACGAACGAGATAGCTGCTCTAGTTGGGTGTCTAAATGCGGCCAGTATACATAACTTCGTGCTAGTGCTTTCATGATATTTATTCCAGGATGTCCTGTGTGCAACTGTTTGAGCACTGCTGGTTGCAGCTTCTTAGGGATCATGACACGTTCGGCAAATAGCAGGCAGTCGTCGATGATTGAGAGTCTACGCTGGTAAAACTATTGGAGCTCTGTGGAGCTGATCTTCGAGGGCCACTCTTCATGGTAGAACTTCCTAACTTCTTGTAGGACTGGATCTCGCAGAGTTTCTTCTCTGACTTCATCTGACGATACTGGAGTGTTTCGAATGGCATCTGCTACTATACTCCGTATTTCTGGATCTACTGCTGTGGAGGCAATGATTATTTGCTTAAAATCACACGTATCACGCGATAAAAGTAATGATATTGACAAAAACAATAACGTAACAAAACTACATTGGATTGGGTTGTAAGCCTAAGAAAAGAAAGATAAACGTGATTTTAAAGAAAATGGAGTTTTATCCTTTAGCTGGCATAACTTAGAATGTCAATAATACGAAGACAGAAAGCAGGAAGTACTGTTGGTTTGAAAAAGATACATCTAGTTGAATAGCCATTATGATGAAAATTGAGTCGAGAGATTTAAGACTCATAGTAAGCATAGCAGTTCCTCATCATTAATCATTTTACTACGCAATGACCAGGGGGAAAATGAATTAAGTGTTTCATTTGAGCTTACATCTAGACCAACCAATGAGAATGTAAGCGCCAGAAAACAGAAAGGTGGTGGCATATTTTACTAAGCGGGAAGTTTCACAAAATGGAAATTCAGTATAATATGCAAAACTTTGTGGAAACAATTACCCGCAAAATTGCATAACGAGCACAGCAATGTGCTTGACGCCACGAACCAATATCACTGGCATTTTCTGCAGGTGAATAGAATTCCATAGAAGTTACACCCGAACGAACCATGGACAACCAATTAACGTAAACAACATCAGGAACACTGTCTGTGGAGCAATTAGTATTAAGATTAAACTGTTCCAATACGAGTGGTAAATTGCATAAATAAATTCCAACACATTCAGCTCGACATTCTTCAATTGCCGAAGACAAACTCGAAAATTTACTGTCGTATGTTTCGCCTGGTTCATACCTTAAGAGTTAAAGAAAATACCACTGATGAAAGTCATTGTCAGAAATTTTACCCAAAAAACATATTTTTAACGGTTTATAGTGATGGGAATCTGCTTCATTGCCTAACTAGTATATGAGTAATTGTTCGTACCCAATACGAAGTTATAATTCAAGAAAAATTGCTGTGATCACATTATGTTATGCTCAACACGTAATTTTCTTCACCTTCCTAAGGATGACACGTGTTCACTGTTAATCAGGCTGGCTCTTTCCGAAGAGATATGTACGAAAATATGACATTAAGATCGACCTGAGTAATGTTTACATCGAGTGGTCAGAAATACCAATTAGTTCGTAACAAATTTCAAATTGAAAGTAAAGTCCCTACATAGACTGTTAGTTTAAATGTAACAAGACGGTCGGTACATAATATTTCTTCCATAGTAATTCGTCGAGATTGAATTTTCTATTTTAACTGCGCAAAACAAGATATACTAATTACTCTTACCAAAAATGGTAGACCAAACTATTCAAAATACCGTTTTTTTTACTACATATACTCTTACACACAATCATGTAAGCCTTAACTTTACAGTTCCGGCAAAAGTTAGGAATAATGAACAGATACTGTAGTGTATTTGTTCTAAGTAGATTAGGACGGTAACCGAAACAGCAGAGAATGTGGTTACGTTATAATCCATTGGAAACTTCCAATGAAAAGTCAAAAATGAAATAACAATGAATGCACATTGAAAACGACCGATAAGTAAGGACACTAATTTAACATGAGTCGGTTACTCGAATGCGTCCGAGTTATCTACTGACTTATTATCTTAATAACAGGCCTGCACTTCACTAACATTGCCTTCGTAAGCAGCTAGAGGCTTTCATATTTTAGTTCAAAAGAACTGAGGCCTATTTCCACCAAAAGTATGAGTTGTCACGAGGAAATATTCAAAGGTATATGCTGCAAAATCTAACTATGAGATTTTTTACATTTCCTTTAGTTACTCCACCACTGGTGAGTCTAACTAAGAAGTCGGTGGTCAAGTGTCCCACAATCAATGACCGGTATAACATTACAGTGCCTTATCGACCCCACAGATTCACCTGTTGCACCGAGGTTTTGTGATATTACTCAGATCAAAATGGACGAGCGCGGATAAAGAGGATGGAAGTCAAGTCCCTAGATAATGGTTGCATACATCTGAACATAAAATCCTGTGTTCTAGCCTGGTAATGACCAAGTGCACTAGGTAAACATGATAGATTGACTGATGAGGCAATATATCTGCATCAACTGAGATTGTTGTGAAATGTGTTACGTATCTCCGATTATGGCCTACCTCGACGGGCGATCATATCCGATGAAATAGGCTTAAGTAAACCTAGGAACGGCAAAACAGAAACACGACATCAGTCCACAGCCAATGATCATAAGACTGAGCCACATTAATGGGTGTAGGCTACTTGATCGGGGTCCATGTGGTAATCGTAACCATTGATTAGAGACCGAATAACATGGCCAAATATCGTTTTTAGTGGCGCAGATGCATTCGTTCAATATCTTTACCCGAATTCTCAGCTTCTGAATTCCTCATAATTTTTATTTATTTCACTAATTTACGTTTTCTTGAGTAGTATTTTCGATGATTAATATTCTTCAATACCCCTAATACCGTTACTACCCCTACTACTCTGGAATTCGCCCTAACAATTTCATTTGGCTGTGCTAAAGCGTGGCAACTTGAACCGATGTACTTACGTACCAGGTTCTACGTCGCGACTGACTGGTGTTAAGGATAAAAGTAAAAAAGGAACAAAATTTTTGTGAGTTGGAGTGCGAATAGCGACATACAAGTGGATGACATTTTCCTATTGTCCATACTTTAGAATATGCTTACCCCCATCCACCTGCATCATGATGAAAATACAAGCCAGTTGAGGAAAGGCTGAAAGCCGTAACATAACATTACTAATTGGCCACTTTATTTGTCATTTTTGTACCATATTTACAGTTTGTTTTTCCACTAATGTTAATATTACTATTTCGTTGATTTTACATCAGTGATTTGAATTGCAGCAAATTAAACAGAAGCACGTTTGTGTCATATTGAATTGTCATAACTGCCCGCAATCGCTCACGTTTAAGTTATATAAGATATAAGTTTACACTAACGGCTAGAATTATAAACCATTTGTTACTTGGTAGATATAAGAAAATAGAGAAGGGAAGCAATAATAGTAACTACAGGAAAGTGAAGGTAACCGACATACCAACTACATATGGGACCTCCACTAATGATATCTTTCGTAGAATTTGTGTCAAAATTTAGTGTTCCATCGCCACTACGTTGAAACAGTTTCCCAGAACCATGGCCTAACAATTCATGAAGTCCAACTTGTAGTTCGAAAGAACTCTCCGCATGATCCACATACAACTTTTTGTCTTCCTCTCGAATAAATTCTGATTTAGGGTCCTAATACAAAAAATAGGTTATACAAACAGACTTTACCTTGAAACGAGCACTGAGTACATTTCCCAAAGATACATTTTTAAATCCATCAACTTGGCGCACATCATCGTAGTTAGGAATGTTAATTCCAACGGGGATTCCTGAGGTTGCAAACGTTACTACGTCCAAACTTGTAAAGTCTGGTTGTAAAAACCTGTCTTTTTCGTAGGTAGAAGGCCATGGCAAATGAGACAGCAATTCAACAGCATTATCTACTAGCCGCTGAAATTTAGATGACATTGATCGATTTACAACTGCGACAAATGACTCGAATTCTGCACGTACACCTAAAGGATCACGATAAGTTTCTATAAATCCAATGTAATTTTCAACTACAGGGCCTTTGTCCTTGACCCATAGTCTAGAAGCATCTTTGTGAGCGTCCAAGGACCCAGTACAAAAGCTCTGAGCGTAATGGTCCCACATTTCTGATTCGATTTTGTTAAGAGAGTGTGATTTGGCATCTAAAGAGCAGTCAACCAGTAACTTCATAAGTTCGCAGTAATCACCGTACTCGAGCTGCAAAGAAGTTCCCAAAGGAAGAGCATCGAAATGAGCAGGTTGAATTTTCTTTTCAGCCGATGCAAACCGAATCGAATAAACCTTGGAGTTAGAGTTACTACTCTTAAAAAGTCGGGTATTATAGGCTTCAGTTTTTATGCTTTCCAGATACTTTTGAACTAGTTCAGCATCACTCCGAATACAGTCTTCAGAGTAATAAGACGTTATTTCAGTGGGACCAAAACCAAGGCGTAAACGGCGAGGATTTAACGAATACATGGCCGGAGCTATTTCTTTCCATAAAGCTTTAAGACCAGTTTCTGAGTTGGAAAATTCACTGCTCAAGGATAAAAATTCTGTTACCCTGTCAACATTGATAGCTGGGATGAACTTGGTGTCTCCAAAAGACAAGTAATTCCCGAAATTACCCAGTACTGAGGCAAAATAAGATAAAATGTGGGTTATTTCTTCATCGGAAAAATTGTTTTTCGTTGCTTTTTCAACAAAGGAATTTACGTTTTCCAAGTGGAAAAAGCGACTGACAAACAAAAATATTCCAGCAGACTCAGGAGATGTTTGAATTAATCCTATGAGACCTCCAATCCAAGAGGCTTGTGTGCAGCTGAAAACATAATCCTTTTCCGTATTGCTAAGTGATTTGAACGCTTCAGTAACATCAAGATAATGCACAGGAGGAGGTACATTGATATAGAAATCCATATTACGACGAAGTATAGGCTGTTGGCAAGCTCTGAGTATGTTAACAGATTGAAGATAGCGTACTGCTGGTCTGAAGACAGACTGAAAGTGAGAGAAAACCTACAAGGGGTATAAACAGCAAGTCTTATAATAGTAACCCACAAAGATGGAATCTAGATTATAATAAAAGTTTGTATTGATCACTAAATAGACAAGAAAAATGGGTGTAGTTATACCAGATAAGTTCAAAGAATCACAGAAACCATAATATCCTAATAACATTGATGGAGTCCCAACTGAAATAAGTCTGCACAACCTTGAGGCACCAAAATAGCTCTCAAAGGACCACCGGGATCTATGTAAAGCATATGCAGCAGAAATCTGAATGTAATAAGAGTTCTATGAGACGCATTGATTTGAAGATACATGTGGCCACAGCTGTTATACTCCCTATTTACTTAACGAATATAAAAAATAAGCCAAAATAATAATGAGTCAACAAGTTTTTACAGATGACTACATATATCACGAAACATTACTAAGTACCTTTCACCACAATAAGCTATACAGCCAATCTTATAAAGCACTACTTGGCAGAAATACATAAAACTCAAACTAGACTAATTGACGCACTAGGCGTCAGATGTACAGCTCTAACCTTGGAATCTTTAGTCTTCGGTAATAAGGATAGGTCTATGGATCTATATTAGTCCTTGCCGTTTCTAAAACTGTGGAGGTCCGGTCTCGTTTCTGAATATGTGGACAGGTGTCGATATTAGGTGTTCTGGTAGAGAATCCTATTAATTCACTACACGGTACGATAATAGTAAGGATATCAAAGACATGCTGATCTACGTCAAGTTCTTGAAATTCACTATTAGACTTAGAGTTTAAAAGATAACTTTGTGGGTCTTTTTACAAAATAAGCCTCACTATTTGTGAAAACATTTTCGCATCTCAAATACGTACTGAGACGCAAAGTGCTGAAAAACCATTTCTGCAAGGACTTTCTTACATTCAGACCTAATGCTGCTTATTACTGAAAGGTGACTGTGAAACCTCCAACATATGATTTTCGTGTTATAGTGTTAGGAATCTGAATAGTTAGAAAGATCTTTCTAAACTTAAGCTGATTAGTTGATTTCTATCCAGTTAAGTTAAAATTTAAAAGCGATAGGCGCTGACTCATAAATTCAAACTTAGTCACCAGAGGAGAAGAGACCCTTCCCGCCAAAGAGCACCTCAATAGTGGGATTGATCGAGTACGAACTTCAAGCCTCAAAGTATACCAAGCATAGTAGAGCCCATCGGCAACGTTATTGTTATTTAACTTTTTATGCTATAATATCGTGCATGTGTATTTTCAGCTTTTATGACCTCAAATGGTTCAAATGGTTCGAATGGTTGTGGATAGGATAGAAAGAGCTTTCGCTTGACCGGCTTCCGTGTCTAGTAACAGTGGATCACCTAACTATACTACCGACAATTAATAAACAAATTGACAAATCATAATAAGATTTTATTCTTAGCCTTTAAGAATAGGTCAAGATTCCTCTTAAATGACTTCTGCGAAGTCACTTGGACTAAGTCGGCAGCGAATTCCAACATTTCACAACTCTAAAGGAGTAGATATCGTGTCTACAGTCCTGCTCTACCATGTTCGGCCTCCATTTTATGGGTGTCTCCCCTGAAGTTTGTTTTGGGAATGAGCCTAAGTAGGCATTCAAGGGGATATCCATAAGTGTTTAGGATGCCGTAAGTCGTTCGAACGTCACATCTAAGACGCCCATACTGGAATGGCTGAAGGTCCAATGAATTGGGAGGCCCTTCATATTCGAATTCCAGTATAATCTGACTCCATCGTATACAGAGCAAATTCATACCGTCTTCTTTTCATTATTTACTTTTCTGTACAGCATTTGAAAGATTTTGGTATCAGTTTATTCCGACTTTATTCCATCGAGATATATCTTGATAAAGGATTCAAAATGCTCTTGAAACATGGTATCACTTTGTGAACTAAGAGTCAATGAACCCAAATTATTCGGACATACCATTAACTCCCAAGTTACTACACACACCACTCACTTCAGTAGATGATTCTAAGCCCGTTATGACTTACGCTCGCTGCTGTGCTGTTATCGATTTGCAGTTCTCTCTGGATTACCCAAGAGCAAATCGCTTATTTGATTGAAATAAAAACGAATGTAACACCTATGTACAAAAATCAAAAGATATTTTCAGGGTCGGGTAGGATACTCGTAAGGCCACAATTATCTTGGTACTATTTCTGTCACTGTAGTTACAAAAAGGACAGTGAAACGGTGTGTAAAACTTCCATTCTTTTGTCTTTGCCGGTTAAGCACACATCGAGGAAAATTTATAAAATTCATTCATCTTTAGTGCATATGTGGTGAAGTTTTATGACTAGGCTGAAACGTAGATGCTCGTCTCGTCGTTTTTGTCAGTTCTAGAGAATTCTCGTTATTACGTGTCAAGTCCGTAACTGTTTTGCCAGGCAAACGATCCAATAACATGCATGGAGATTCATTATATAAATAAACCGATCTTAGCCTGTCGACACCAATTGTATCTATCTCCTTGTTTTTGTACGAAGAAATATTTAAGTGTTCCTAAGGCAACTCTGAATTGGCCTTCAAATGGAGTTTTAAGTGTTGCTTTCACCTTGTCACAACTTATTCAGACGTGTGTAAATTTGCTTAAGTTTTGGGGTATATATGTAGCTAGCGGATTTTCACAATCATTAGGTGGTTTAAGTTTGGACATTTGATCTTAAACTTGCTACGTCAATATTTTTACTTTTAATACAAGGATTGATAAACTCGCTTGGCAGTTTTAGAATCTTCATAAGGAATTGTCCTGCTGCTTAACGCTGTGCATTAGTTTTGACAACTATCTTTATTCCCAACATAACTAGTGACAGGAGTTCTGTTCCTTAGTTGGGGTTTGAGTGTCATATGGCAGCCTTCAACTAAAGATCGAGACACTTTGCCATTCCATATGTCTGAGATGGGTATGTTGCGTAAGGTATTCTGCTGAAGCCTGAAAGTTTAAATGAGTTGTTAAATATTTCAGATTGAAATAAGGTTGCACTTTCACTCGTTATGGGTATAGGTGTACCAAGAATAGTCACTCGCTTTGAACACTATTTTATCCCTAATGTTGGTTTTTGGTATGGCTATTGGAAACCTCAATAATCTGTCTATGCATGTAAATTGAAATTATCAGAACACAGTATAGGACGTATCAAATCGATATGAACATACGACCAACGCTCATCTGGTTGCGAGAAAACCCCGATGGTTGAATTTGCGTTAACTTTTGATTGTCGACACGCCAAACACCCTCTGAGCCTTTTATGTAAATCGTTTTGTAAATTTGGAAAATATATAAAGACGTCAATCAATGTGGTAGTAGCTTTCGAGTCTGGATGAGAAAAAGTATGGAAATTAATGAATGATAATTTTTGAGTGTATCTGGTTGTTGTAAGGTCTGGGGATCGCCTCGTATATGTAGCAGTAAATCAAACGACCTTCAATTAGTGGTGAATGTTGTTTTAGCTTTAGACAAGAGTTTGATACTGCAAATAGGTCATACATTGCCTGATATCCTTCCGTCCTGGCCGAGGTAGTACATCTGCCGCTCGATTCTCCTCACCTTTGAGATGTCGCATATCACAGGTGAATTACGATATGAAGTCAAGGCGTCAAATCTCTCGAGGAGAGTATTTATCGGTGATAGCTTTCAATGCATTGATTAGAGGTCTATGTAAACTAAGTGTTAATAATGGGTTCGTTGCCTTCCGACATGTGTTGGAAGTATCTGATGGTTCGGAAGATCGCGACATCTCAACTGAAGGTAGAATATGTCGTCTCTGTTGAAGTGAATCTTTTTGTGAAAAACACAATAGATTGACAGGCTTTTTAAAACGGTAGATTAAGAACATCACCTAACTGCTTAGTTTGAAGTATCTAAGGTCAAAGTGAGCGAAGAGTAGAAATCCGGATTGGTTAACGCAGATACTTGACGTAAATCATTATTTAGCTGTTAAAAGTTTATTCAGCCTCATCAGTCAGCACATAACCTTTCGGTCTTTTCTTAGGGGAAACTATCAATGGTTTCGTTATTGCAGCAAAAAAGGGGTAAATCGGCAATGAAAGTTGAGTGAGCTAACAAAATGTTTGAGTGGTGCTAAAGAAATTTGAATAATGTAAATATTTACGGGCTTACAAATGTATCCCAGAAGACGAAAAGCGAATTAACTTGAAGGAGTGTTTATTTAACATAAATCCAGCAAACTCCGCTTGCAGCTCTTCTAGAGTTACTACTTGTTCCAAATAAGAAGGGTTAGGCATGGGGTAAGTGGCCTCATCACGGAGAAGACTAACTCTCTAAAAAACGCTAACCAGAAAAAATAATTCAAACCATTTAAACTCTGCCCTGGGAGTTGAACGAAGTTTATGACGCCTCATGATGAAAGTTGAGCTCCTTCGGAAGTCATGAGGCCGATGCCTCCTCTAACAACCAGAGCAACAAATTTTATAAGTACATGGAACGTCCGGACAATGTGGGAGACCAGGAAAATCGGTAAGATAGCAATGGAAACGAGGAGATACAAATTGGCAGTTCATGGAATCAGCGAGACTCAATAGACACAAGCTGGATAGCAAAGGCTAGATACGGGAGAGATTCTATTGTACTCCAGTCACGAAAAAGAGAGAGTTTCTCTAATGCTATCCAGAGAATCACGAAATCCACTTTTAGGATGGGGATCTCATGTAGTCAGGATCATAAAAGCATAGATGTCACTCCACCAACGACCGAAGAAGTCAAGATGGCCATCAGAAAAATCAAGCATGAGAAGGCAGCAGGACCTGACAGTATACCAGCTGAGGCACTGAAGTCAGACAGCGAAGTAACTGCAAACATGCTTCACACTCTAATCAAGGAGATTTTGAGGGAGAGACAAGTGCCGACGGACTGGAAAGAAGGACAGCTCATCCAGATACCGAAGAAAGGATATCTGAGCAAATGTGAGAATCACAGAGGCATCACATTACTGTCAGTATCAGGAAAAGTTTTCAACAGAGTGTTGCTCAACCAAATGAAAGACGCAGTACACGCCCAACTTCGAGATCAACAGGCTGGATTCCGTAAGGATCGGTCGTGCACAGACCAAATTGCGACTCTATGGATCATCGTTGAACAATCAGTTGAGTGGAATTCGTCACTATAAGTCAACTTCACTGAGAAGGCTTTTGACAGTGTGGACAGGAGAATATTATGGAAACGTTTTTAACACTATGGAGTTCTTGAGATTTCCAACATTATCCGGAATTCATACGACGGACTACAGGGCAAAGTGGCGCAAGGAGAACAACTGAGAGATGCATTTCCAATATGGATCGGAGTCAGACAAGGCTGTCTAACCTCCCCTTCACTCTTTCTTTTAGTGATTGATCAGATTATGAAGACCACGACATCTGATGGGAAGCACAAAATACAATAAACATCACAGAATCAATTAGACGAATTGGACTTCGTGGGTGACCTAGCCCTACTATCGATTACACACGAAAAAAATACAGACGAAGACAAGTAATGTAGCAGTAGCCTCTGCATCAGCAGGCCTCAACATACACAAAGGGAAAAGCAAGATTCTCAAATACATCACGGAGAATACCGAGCCAATCACATAAGCCTAAAACCCGAGGATATGTCCTGGATTCCTAAGGCTGAACCACAAGCGCAAAAACCCGAAAAGAACGAAAACTAAACCTCGAGAGATACCGAGGATATATTCTTTCGGTACTGCATTTCATGGTATACCCTGACCAAGTCAATCTTAGTGGATATGTTCATGCTCTGTAATGCATCTATTTCTTCTGAGCGTTCGTAACTCACCCTGTGGCCTGTACTTTGGTAGTTGTGGTGAGCTCCTCCCGTTTTCGTGATTCACTTGAATTTTGGTGACAGTCTTCATGAGACGGTTAGCACTCTCAATGATCTTTTGAATATTATATTTTTGTGTGTGACGAACTGTATGTGATTCATTTGCGGGACGAGCGAGGTAAAAACGTTTCCCGGTCTTAGGCGTCCAAACAGTGTTAGACATAGCATGAAGGGGCTTGTATCAATCTTTATTTAAGGACTGCTTCACCCAAAGTGTTCTCGCACAGTAATACTCGTGGGTGGAGTAAGAACTGTGATGTTTCCCCTTGTAAAACCTCTGGATTCTTTGGCTGTCTTACAAAGGTAGACAAATCATAGCGGAAATAAGTTTCATCTCACCATCGATCACAATGACGTAGGTGTATACATTCTTTATGTTTCTTTAAACCTTGAGATTAAAATTGCTTCATATATGTCTTCCTTCCCATACTATATCCTTATATACAACCTATCTTTTATATACTACCACCACTAAATTAACTACTTCTATGAATTCGGTGTTGATCTTGTTGTGCTAACGAGGTATGGAAACTTGGACTGACGCAGTTTTGTACCTGGTCCTACGCTGTAGCTGACTGTCACCGGCAGATATATATATATATATATATATATATATATGACTTCCTAGATTTGTAAACAAGCTATTTTCGAACCAAATACCACAATAATGTAGTTGAATACAATAGTAAACATTTCAATTATTTCTGAAGAACAAATGATAAATTTATTTTAGTGCAGCTATGTGAAACCGTCCTAGGAATGTTTACTATACACTCAGACAGATCAATCAATTTTGTATTTGCATATTGTAACAAAATCATGCTGATTTTCACTATCATATTAAAATGACGCTAATTATTTTTATTGAAATTATTTGCTAGTCATGTGTTATTCCATAATAACGATTGTTGCGTCTTAACTAAATTTATGCGAAACAATCATTGAAATAAAAGATATAATTTGATTTCATCAATGATCAGTTTCAGTTTGGAAAGGACAGGAGGCTTGGTGGCCTGTGTTAGTCCTGGCAATGATGGTCTCTCAGCTGATCCAACTTTCTTTTGAAGGAGTCGACGGATGGAGC